GCAGAGGTAAATTCATTTACCTGCTTATTTGGACCATATATGCAAAAGTGTATGAAATAGAAGAATCGTCAAAGAAACTCTAAGTTCTACTTTTGAAACAGATCTAGGCCTTGGATGGCAAAAGCCCACAACTGTTTTCAGAAAAGCTGTTCCTGACTCTTCTCTTTTCTACTCTACCCATTCCCCTCAGCCTACCCCTTGTTCTCATAGTCAGGACACTAAAGGGGAGATAGATTCTCAGTAAACAGTACTCCAAAGGAGCTATTGCCTCTGAAATGCTTGTTACATCTTTGGGCTTTGTACCAAGACTAGGGAATATTTAAGACTTCAGAAATTGCACTTTTGCTCCATGGAGAAGAAAAAAAGAAAATTTTAAGTAAAGGGCAACTCTTTCTCATGACTTGCAAGCTTAATTGGCAATGTCATTGAGTGCAAAGAGCATTTTCCAAAGTATATTATGTAGCTAGGTTAATCATTGTTATCATAAAAAAATTTCGTCGTCAAACACGTTTGGAGAATGACAATTTAAACTAGTATTTTGTTATAGAACTTTAAATATTAATGTATAAGGTAATTCTGTAAGAGGAATATAGGAAATGCTTACTTTCCTAAACTTTTTTTGGCCATGGAAACTTTATTTTATGCTGCTTCTCATGGGATTACTGCCATTCTATGGAATATACTTTTGGAAATGCTGATTTATGAGAATAGACATTATTTTCAGTCATTGACATTTTATACTTTTTTCTCAAAAAGTAAAAATAATGTAACTTACTTTTCAAGGAAATTAGTTCTCCTTAACCAAAGATTATTCAATCATCATCATTGAGTTAGTGACTCAGACTCTTATTTATTCTCAGTAGTGATTCCTACTGACTAACTCATCCTGCAGCACAGGAATACAATTTTCTAGATAAAGGATTAGTGTTCATTTGTGGATTTAGGGCAGTGCAGATTCTGTTGCCCACTAATTGAACCACTGTCCATGGTTATTTCATTTCTATTTTCTAAGTCAAACTCAACGATCAGCTTTTCAGGTCCCATACTCATCTACCTTATCTACAGGCTCCCACAAAAGTGCCTTTGTTTAAAAAAAAAAACCTATAGTTGAAACATTTTAGAAACCACTGCTCTAAAGTAACGAGGCTACTGAGACAGAGCCAGAAAGATCAATATGCTTCACCTACTGGGGTTTCTTCTATTCAAGGAGAATGAGACTAAAGGATCTTTTAATAAATAGATTGGAAACTTCATAGAAGTGAAGCTCCTTGCCCAAAAGTAAAGAAATGATAAAAGTGTTAGCTTGAATTAGAATTTTTGGCTCCAGATTTACAACTCTTTGGGCAAAGACTAATGCTTTCTCTCTTGCCAAATTCCCACATTGGCATTCCCTAGATTCTGACACAAATCATCCCTGACATTGAGCTACCAACATTTACTATGCATTTACTATGCTCCAGACTCTTTTCTAGGTTCTAGGGTTATGAGAATAGACAAAGTCTTTGCTGTAGAATAGGTACAGGGAAAACGTTAAGAAGCAAGTAAACAAATAATCTGACATTGAAGTTAAGCTTTGTTCTGGTTTTCTCTGAGTCCTTATCCAGATATATCAAATGACCATCTAATCACAGATGATCATTCTTACCTGTTCCCATTTTAACTTGAAAGTCTCTGAGTTCCATTTCTATCTCCACAAGGTGCTGTTTGCCTGATTTTGCCCTTCCTGACCTGGGTCCATGTTAACTCACAAACTCTTAAGTCAAAACTATTATCCTCATGGCCTTTGAATTCTGAACACAATCAATACACTTCAACCCTGCCTATTGAAAAGTCCATATTAGTGATTCCTTAGATCCCATCCTGCATTTTGTCTAGCCTCTCATTCACTCAACTAAAGTTTTAGATCTCCGTTTGTTCATTTGGCATTTTCTTCCACTGTCACTTTTGTTAACTCCCTTTCTCCATACCTTTGCCCTTTGCCTCTTTCTTTTATAGATTCTTATAGAGGGTGAATGACGTCATTCTCCATTCTGGTTCTACTCTTCCTTGCCTTGTTTTCTTCCCTGAATTTCATAAAGTCCTGTCTTTTTTCACTGTTCTACCTATATGTCTTTTCTCCCCTCATCATGTATCCCCACAAAGTGCTCTTTTCAAAGATAGGCATATCTATAGGGCACTACTTAACCTGGAACAATTACAATTCAGGTTTTCTGACTAGAGACAGTATGTCCAGATCTACTATAGATTTGTGCATAAGTAATTTATTATAGTTCAAAATAAATTTTGAAATTTATAAAATTTTAAATCTTTTTTTAAATTTTAAACCTCTCAATTAATAGGAAATAAAAGAAGGGGACTTTTTCTTAGCTAACCTCTCCTGTCATATCCAAATGTTCACTCTCAGATCTATTTTCCTGCTATTTTCATTCAACTTAGCTGTTCATGGTACAATTGTAAAAGCAGTAGGGGAGGGGGCTTTGAAACCATGGGACTCCCCTTTCCTACAGCAAGATGACTGTTTAGCTCCATTTGCCTTCAGGGTGACACGTCTCTACCAGTCTTCATTTTAATGATTCTGTTGAGTCAAAATTGAGCAACATAAGTTGCTTTATATATATATATATCAAATGACATCAAATAGATGACATAGATAGAATAAGCCAATTAACTACCTAATGGCCCCATAGTCACCTTCATAGCGAAACTGACTTCTCGCTGTGCTTAGTGCGCACATTTATAATTAATGAGCAAGTCTTTCATGTCAAGAAGGATCTGACTTTTAATTCTGACAACTGTTGTTCCACGCATCCTGCTTTCGGGCTAAATCATAGACCTATCATAAGCAACAGATCTTTAGAAATTCAATGTATATCTGTGAGTTCTTCCCAAAATGATCAAGGAAAGCCATGTCAATTTTACAAGTAATCATACATTTCAAAATAACTTTCACACCAAGAAATACTTCTCAGCCAATATAGTCAGGTGGTAACAATCCTGATTAAGAGAGAAGACAAATTAAAATCTTCCCTCCTACCAACTTTGCTTTCCTTTCATTATCTGTCCTTTGCCAACCAAGCTACAATCTAGGAGACAGTTTTAATTTCTAACTTTTTGTTTTTCTCTATAATCATATTGGTGTTTGTTGCTCTAGGAGAGGGGCCTATATTATCTTCCTAACCAAGTACTTTATACATTTATTTAAAGTGTGTATGGGGTTACTGAATAAGGATAAAATTGGACTCACTTTGGTATAGAAAATGTGTTAGAGGGATCAAAATCAGAAGCAGGGAAACTGGTCGTGAAGCTATTTCCATGGTACTGCTGAGAAGGACCTTAAGCTACGTTATGGTAGTGAAGAGGGGTAGGCGTATTTGAAACAACATCAAACAAATAGAATCAGACTAGTGGAGACTAGAGGTTGGGATGATCCCTAGTTTCTCATACAGATAAAATTCATGGGTAATTGTGCATGTCACTGACATGGGAATGTAAAGAAGGAAAATAAATACATTCAACTTTGTTAATGTGCTAATATAGAGAACAAATACAGTAGATCACAACTACCATCATATAAATAATAATCATTGTGTATAAGTGATTTGCAAAGTGCCAAAGAATTATAGATAGCTGAAACATGATTTTATCTGAGAGAGGTTTAGCATCAAATGAGGTTGTTGGCATGTATATATACATAGATGAAAATGTATGACAGATACACAAAATTCCAAAAGGATGGTTTTAGTTATCAATTTTCTGGGCACTCAAAATCTACTTTTCTACATTTATTTCTACTTCTTGAATGACGTAAAACTGAGCGATTCGAAGCTCCAGATAAATTAAGCTATTGTATTTCTTATTCTTTGGCTACCCCTAAGTTTTCCTATCTCCTTAATCTTGTTTTTTTCATCTGCAGTCTCTGTCTAGTATCTTTGCTTTCTAAATCCTATCTAATTTTCAAATGATATTCAAAATATATATTCTGCCCTGGACCCTGCAATCAGAAATCATCTCTCTTTTATGAGGCTTTGTATTTGTACCATTTTTTTTAACTTTTTACTCAGTGTTTATTATGGTTTCTTCAGCACATGTGTTATGTCCTTCATGTCTACTCCAAAGCTTAGTTTCTTATAATGGAACCATTTCTCATTCAATTTACTCACATTCACACCTCTTGTATATACAAATCTCACCCCAGCCACTGCCACAATCAAATATCCAATTATCATCCACCACTAGGGCATCCACCACTAGGGCATTGGCACTCTCTCCTCCCCTTTAGCAGTTCCACACCTCTTTTTCTTCTTTCTTTTTGTTGTCTGAGTCAAAAGCTCTGTTTTTGTTTTGTTTTGTTTGTTACTTTGCTTTGTTTCTTTATATTCCACAAATGAGTGAAATCGTGCACTATTTGTCTTTCTCCTTCTAACTCTTTTCACTTAACATAATCCTCTAAAGGATTCTTTTTTTTTTTCTAAAGGATTCTTAATAACAACTCAAAGTTTGAAGAAAAATTTGTAGGTGAGGAAAATACACAAGTCTCCAAATATGACTAAATAAATGTTGGTCCTAGAATACCTAAAGGGCTGACTATTAATCCTTCTCAAACGACAGATTTCATTTGTTTGTGTCCAACAAGGTGATTTAGTGACATTTCCATTGAAATTTTTTAGCAGTTCTTAGTGATGTCACGTGTTAATTGAAGTCTTTATTGGTTGCTTTCAATTCTTCTGAATCCTTTAATTTGGTCCTGATATGTAAAGTGACTCCAGAATTTCTTAACAGGAGGACTTCAGGCAATAATCGGATAACAGTCCTTCCTGGACAAAAGAAAGTTGCGTTTGTGTTGTAAACATGCTGTTTTCACTTACATGCGTTTTATTTAGGATGTCTTGGGACATTGATCCTCTTCAATTCATACAGAAAGACAAGAAAAAAAGAAAGGATGTATTTAATATTAAAGCTATATTAATTTAAATGTCTTTGTTACTTTCCCATTTTTTCAGACCTTAGAGAGGAGATCATCTTCAAAAAGCGAAAATGAAGCTCACCTTTACACGCTGGGTTTTTGCCCTGTTCATCTTTCTACATGTGAGTGAAACAAAATTTATTCTAAGCTATGTTAATATAGAATGTTAAAACAAGAAGGAATGTTTGAGTATGACTGAATGGGTATTAGCAGGAGTAGATATTTTTCTCCAGGAGTCAAAACATAGTTCCTCAAAACTATCATTTTCTTAGTATTTTGCTGACAAAATCTTCCCAGTAAAATTTCATTGATTTAGAGTGGTATTTTTAATACAGAAATATGAGCTTTGATTATTTACAAAAATTCAGCAATAATTTGAGACATCTCCACATTATCCTGGAAATTAATGTTGAAAGTTAATAATGTTCTTGGATAAACTGTTTTCATGATAGACATGTGACTTTCTTTGAATCACAATTTTGGGGTTACTGTCTTTTTAAAGCATATGAATTCTTTCAGTATGGTTATTGATTTTAAATATATTTTTATCTAAAAGTAAAATTTTTATGTCTTAACATGTTACCGAGAGTTATTCCATAACTCTCTAGTCTATTAAATCATGCTGAATTTATTTTTTATATTATTTTATTCCTGAACAATTTAGTTAGTAGTCAGAACTACCTCTTAGAAAACATTATCAATGCTTATTTTTGTGTCCACATTGTTAACCCACCATCACATCAGCTTTAACATATATGAACAACACTGACCAATGAATTATACATGTCAGTCACTCAGGATCTGATTCTCACCCAAACAAATCTTGTCTAGGGTTCCAGTTCTAGGATTTCTAGTGTGTGTTCATGTGTAATTATGGGCTTACAAGTCTACATAAACTATTTCTCTTTACATTATTCAAGGGGAAAATATTGTTAATGTCCTATAAATGTTGAGTTAATTTTAAAGGGATTTTTATTTTGTAATGTTAATGTATAAAATAAATGGTTTATGGGAATGATTGTTAATGTAACCCCTTTATACCTATTTAGATAATAAGTTATTTTATTATGTAAGACTGTCCATATTATTTTAAGCTTTAAAGAAAGTTCTGTATAATTTTCTAAAAGTAATCCAGTATTTGGAAATGCAGGTAAATTCATGCCATTGGAAATACGATTTTCAAAATAATTAAGCAGGACTATTGTAGAAACTATTACCAGTAAAATATGTAATGTTCTCTATAATGTGCCAAAGCCTGTGCAGTATTCTGGAGATGCAGAAATATTGGTATATTCTGTTTATAAATTGATAGTTACTTTTTATAGCTCAAATAAAATTCTGTGTGGTCAAGTACATGTGAATATTTCTAACTAATTTCATTTCATAAAACATATGATTAATTATATTGTTCATTGATAGAAGAGCTAAAGGCACTACTAAATCCTAACAAGATAATTTGGGGATTATCTAACCTTTTACTACAAAGACTTCAGATAATCTCTAGTGTGTTAAAAACTGTAGCAGATCACTTTTATTCAAAGTTCAGATATATTTTATCTGATATATTTTAAAATTCAGAGATTGAAAGAATTCCATTTATTTTCATGAACAGAAATGTTTTATGCTTTGTGGACACCTCTTTCCTAGCAAACATAACTGCACTAAGCACTTAAATGGCTTTGTGCTCTCTTTGCTGTGACCAACAAATTTGATTCTCTATCTATGCTTGGATTATGTTTTTGATTCAGAAGATTTGTCCATAAAAATTCATTTGATATATCAATCTCCTTCTAAAATACACTATACCCCACACTGATACTCCTCAGAAAAAAGGGGAACTTTTTTAAAAAGTGACAGTGATTTTAATTACCTCAGAATATCACTTCTTAGATATTACCATATCGTAAACAACCACTACCAATATATTTATTGAACTCTACCAACCTGATTTCCAAATTGCTTTGAAAGCATTGGTGTAGGTCACCACATTCCATTCACCATATCTACTCTAATCAAAATCACCCCTTCACTTCCTTCCTATTTCCTGTAATGAAAATGACTTAAACAGTCCTCGGCACATAGGGAGCTCTCAAAAAGTGCTAATGATGATGAAAATGATGAAAAATTGAAAAACTAGATTTTTCTGATAGCATGTTGTTGTGGTTGTCAACTGTATTCCCTTATTTGCACTGAATATTTCCAGCAATTGTGTTGTTTATGCATTTATATATAAGTAGAAAGTACATAGGACATCAACCAGGCATCTGATTTTGCCTGGAAGAACCAGCACTAACACTTTGCAAAGTTCTATTTCATTCTTTGCTCATCTAAAAAATATAAGTAATTGAAAACTACAAATAATTCTAACATATGCATTATCAATTTTGGGTCTATTGATTTGTGGATTCTGAATTCATTTTCCTTTTAGAGGATTTCTGTCTGTGGCAATCAGTATGAATCTCTCCTTTCAGCAAGGGGCATGGACCCCTGCATTCAGCGGGTTTCAGCCACTGCAAAGATAGACCATTTCTCAAAGTTCTGCACAGAACAGCTCTATATCCTCATTCTGTCTCCTTACTTTCAAAAACTGCCTGTAGGGCCTCCCCGGTGGCACGGCGGTTGAGCGCTGGGTTGCGAAGCTGCCCGCAGCCTATGCGGCGCAGGTTCGATCCCCAGCTGCTCCCCAGCCACTGGAGGAGGGTCCCGCATGGCGCGCAGACCTCTCCTGCCGCCCGCTGCTCCCCTCAGCAGTGTACTTTGGTCCTTCTGCCTGCTCTGCTCCCCGCTCTGGCTCTGGTGAATTCTCTCACCCTCCTGAGCTTCTGAATGTACCCAGTGCTTGTATGTATAAACAAACAAACAAACAAACAAATAAATAAATCTTTAAAAAAAAAATACAACCAAAACTGCCTGTAACTCCAAAGTAGGCTGATTTTAGACCACTCAAATCAGAATGCTTTCCTATGTACTCCATGACTAGTGTGGATGAAACCTTGTGTAACGGAAGCTCCACAAGGGCAGCAACCTTGCTGCTGAGCCTCCAAAACCTATAACAGTGACTGGCACATGGGAGGTACTCAAGCTGTGGACTACAGCTTTGGTGGCAGCTCGGTGGTCGTATGTGTGGCACCATTTACTTGAACCTTTAGGAGTGACATCACATATATGGCAACTAAACTGCTACATAGGATACCTAAGAGATTGTTTTTTGTTTTGTTTTCCAAGAATTTTGTGAGCTCTTGTCTGCAAAACTTCGAACAATGATCTTTACTCAGAAAAATATTAATGCCCTTAACAACTCATTTCTATCTTCATGTGAACATCGAATCATATATTTGCTGACCCCCCCCAATATGTAGTATAAACATAATACTTATGATAAGTAAACATTTTTAAATCTTTCACATGACCTGATACTTTCATCTAATCATTACTGCTTCTACTTTGCCTCTTTATTGCTGAAAATTCTACCACCTCCTCTAATAATTTTTATTTGTATAAAATCATCAGCAAAAAGTTTATGTTTAATGTGTGTTATGAAATTTGTATATATGGTATTTTATGAAATAGTTATTCCACAACTTGAACTTTATATGTTTTATATCACTGTCTTTGTATATCTATACCTACCTATCTGTTATATGTATACACATATGTATATATGTTATATAAATATCTGTTATATGTATATATATGTGTGTGTACATGTAACAGAATGTCTCATATATATGTGTATGTAACAGAATGTCTCAATGCCTATCTTCAGAAGAAAATCACTGAAACATTCAGCTTCCAGTGGGAAAATTCCATCGTCAATGTGCAATGAACCAGACCAGGATCGGACTCAGATTATTTTGGCTCAACTAACGACAGAAGTTCTAATTCCTCATTCCTTCAGTGTTGAAACAATCTCTGCTGAACCAGACTCCAAATCAAGTTCACTGGAGTTTGTTTCAATATTGCAAGAATGATAAGATTGATACCGCTATCATCTGCCTCAACTACACCTACTCTTTCAGATGGTCTTATCGCCACTGTTATTGATGTTATTTTAACTGCATTCAATCAAATAATACTGTAATGAAAACATAAGTATAGGGTTTTCCATTTGATATACTTGTCCATACCGTTCCCCCAGGGCTTCCATGAATTTCCAACTACACAGGAACATTCCTTAGCTAGTTGTCCTGTCCATTTAAAGACAGAATTCAGAATTTTATTTTTGGAAATGACACTAAGCTTAAACAAATTAGTCACTAATGTCCCTGTACATAAATGACAGAAAATAGTCCCTGATATAGTAAACAGAAAATATTTTTGTATGACATCATGTTCCATCTTCTAAGCTGATTTGAAGATGGTGATAAAGTGGCCCAAAACTAAATATCTTAAATGATAATTCTCTTACCAAGTAAACACTCTAAGTATAGAACCATAAAGAACCTAATATATATGCATCAGCTGAACCATCTATTGCTATCTTTTATTGCGAGGACACCATTAGACATGGTTAAAGATCATGGTTACATGATTTTGAGTGGAATTACGCACACATGTGCACTCATACACACATTCATACAAATATAAGCTACTAAAATCCAAAATGAAGACTTAACATCTTTTGTGTGTGTGTGTTCCCAAACACATCCCAATTTCTAATGAAATATCTGAGCATTTAATGACTCTTTACCTTTCAAGATAATTGGTGTCAAGAAATATTTTATAGTGTTGTGGGTTTTTTTGCTAGACTGTAAGCTCCATGAGGAAAAATCTATACTAGTTTTATTCATCAATGTATCTTCAACAATACTTAGCTCACCAAGCTCAATGCATATTTGATGACTGATCTTAAAATCCATTGGAAAAGGGTGATATGACAACAGAATGTTGTTCAACTACATTAATAAGGGATTTGCACATTTTTAATCATTTTGTTGTTTCATTGGCTTGTCTTTCTTCTCTTGTAAATTCAAGAGTCATTAAAAGCAGAAATAACCCTAACGCTTAAAGTATGGTGTCAACTGTGTTCAAGTAACTGTCCATGTAGAGTCATAACAGCAATGTTATAACAGTAGTATATATCTACCCTCTGAAATGATTTCTACTCAGATGACGTGCTGGCACTTCCAATACAAATCCAGAAGAGAAGTTACGTTCTTCCCCCAATGAAGAGTTTCTTTCCCAACTTTTCCCCTTTCTCAGGGCACTACCATTTTTCCCAGTTATATAGGATAAAGTATCTGGGGTGTTTGACTATTACTATTTTTCTTTCCTCATATTCAATTATGCCTTTGTATTTTTGTTAAGAAGGTTAGGAACTGCTCCTTTTTCCATCATGGGGTGATCTAGTCCCTGCCTTCAGCTTACTGGCACAAAGATATTTTTCAAACACACACACACACACACACATTAGTTATAATAAGTAGGACTGAGGCTGACATTAGCAGCTTGTACTGACAGAAACATGTAAAATTTACACTGATTTTCAGCAGTGAAAAATTCATTACCCTGTATGATCATCTGCTGATGAAACCAGTTTAAAGAAATTAAGCCCAGTTATCCAAGCTAGAATCTCAGAAAAACATTATTTGTTCTGTGGGATAAACTGGGTAAAATTTTGGCAATGTGCTTAATCTAAGCACAAACAAAAATCAGCTGAAAGAATTAAATAAAAATAAAGTTTATCTCTGGCACTGCCTTACCTATTTTTAATAATGTGATTCATGATCTTAAGAGTTCCAAATAAGGCAAAGTTAATTAATATTACTATTTGGGGGGGGGATCAGGTTATTTGTTTTGCTTAGTTCTGTACACTAATAAAAAAATTTCTGAAAATTATTCGATAAAGAAGTACATGAATGTGTGTGGGTGCTATACATTTTCAATAGTAAAGGACTGAATGTAAATATGAAATTTGTAGTTAGAATTTGTAGATGAACTATAAATACACTCAGGTTATAGAATAAAAAATATTCTGCAGGGAGACCATAAGTAACTGTTGCTTATAGAAGGAAAAATAAAATTTTTCATACTTTTATAAGCATAATCTGTGTAATGTTTTAAATGTATTGTAGGTATAAATGTATAAAAATATAATGAAATTATGTGTACATAATCAGTTACTCTCTATATGTAACCAATTTTTCTTTTAATACAGCACCCAACCCCCGTTCTTCCTTCCGATTCAAACACCACCTTTTCTCCAACAATTGAGCCTGAGCCATTCCTGTACGTCCTAGGACGAAAGAAGATGATGGATGCACAGTTCCAATGCTATGATCGAATGGCAAAGTTACCCCCCTACCAAGGAGAAGGTAAAAAGAGGATCTGTGTAAACACGCATTTCAAACATCATTAAAGGCTTATTTTCTTCCAGGGGCAAATATGTTGACTGATTTTAATTTAATATACTACAGTATATTATATTTAATATTTAATATACTACTGTGTTTAGTATTTAATATACCACAGTTTTAGCAATGGTTTTCATACTACGGTATGTTCGTGTATTTCATATGGCAAATGGGCTTAGTTTTTGCCTTTTAAGTTCATCAGAAAAGTTTCTGGCTAACATCTGCTTTGATCACATTATTACTACAATAATTCCATATTCACACCTGGCAAGCAGGAATAATACAGGGTTAAATAAAAAGAGAAATTGGAAAATTCTAGGAAGGAAGTTGGAAAATGGTGGGCAGAGTTTGTCTAAGAAGAACCTGTCAAAACCCCATCTGGTTTGGATTAATTAGGCAGTATCTTTCCCTTAACTGTCAATTGGTTGACAACTCATGATATTCCTTTCTCCTTTCTACCCCTAGTTCACAGAGAAAATAGAAAAAGATATCACTTAAAGACTGTTTCTCCTCTCGCCTCTAGAATATTCTGTCTGCCCAGTTGTTTTCAGGACCTAACAAATTCTGTTAATTTAAAGGCCCCAGAAGAAAACAAAAGGGAGGATATGATGGCCACCCATTGTTATACATCCATTTAAATTGTCTTTCCTGTCCTCTATAACATTTTGAAAGATCCACCAAGATCTTGTACATCCTTGTATATTATAAGACAACAGTGCTTGGTGGAAGGAAAACATTGGTTTGCCTTCAAGTAGTTAAAAGTTATAATAGTCATTCCTATTTGTAACATTTTCCTTTAAACACAAGTCAGTTGAAAGATAGATGTATGTTATTCTTCTACCTTCAGTAATTTCAGTATTTTTAACAAATTTGAAAAGGCATTAAATGCAACTCTGCCCCTAGAAGAAACTATTTCTCTGAAACAAATGAGACAATAGAAACATGAAATTGTTATTTTCAGAAAGGACTTGCATCTTAATTATCTTGAGAGGTTGAACTTTTGTGCTATGATAATTATTTAAAGCTTTTTTATTTTTTGAGAACTGCCTTCAAGCTTGAGATTCATTCTTGTGAATATCATTTTTAGTGTTTTATATTAGATTTGATTTTTGAAATCAGTGAGAAACCACTTGAAGCCAATATTGACCACATAATGTGATTAAACTGAGCATTATTTAGCCAGTGACAAGTGTTATTCTAATGGAATAAGGCTGCTTTATATGTAGTCCACGAGCTAGCTGAAAATACACCTCCAAATGAACAATTATTACATCATCCTTGAAGTAAGACTGAGCCCTACCCAAGCAACACCTTGAAAGGTTAATGGTTAGTAAAATACATATATTCCAATGTCAAATAATTATATAATTCAAGATAAGCCTTTCATCCAATGATGATTTTACAGATATATAAAAGAGTACTCTTGTAGCAATTCTGAAGATATATTTTAAAGGAAGGATTTTGGAGGAAAGATTCTATAGAGATGACATGTATGTCTTTTGAGGAGTAAATGGAGAAAGCACTAAAATGCAAATTGCATTACTAGGTGGTATTTTACTGCTGTTGCTTCTTCTAATATTTCCACATCCAAGTGAAGAACCCCCAAATTACTGTCTGTAGAATGTTTAATCCTGCTGAGGATACTGAGTTCTGACAATTGCAATATAAATTTCTAATGGCCAGGTCCATACTGCAATCGTTCCTGGGATGGATGGACTTGCTGGGATGACACACCGGCTGGAGTGTTGTCCTATCAGTACTGCCCCGATTATTTTCCAGATTTTGATCCAACAGGTAGAGTATTTATTTTCATTTTCTATCTTGCCATGATGCTTTGATATTCTGAAAAGAATATCAAATATAAATATGCTTATCTAATTATACACATTTTGAGATCTCTGAAACATTTCCTAAATTAAAATATTATCCATTTATATAAATACTGTAAGCTGTCCATATTTTTAAGTCATATTACTAGTCAGTGGTGCACATTGGTCTTAAATTCCATTAAATTTTAAATTAAAATGAGATTTGTATAATAGAATATTATAACAAATTTAAAATAAAGTATTAATAATATTTTAACAACAAATTAAATAAACTAGATTTCTATAACCAGTTTTATTTGACATGTTTTTAAATTTTCAGTTAACATTTATTTGGTGACTTATGAAAATATTTAATCAAGAAATAGCAGAAATGGGGCTGACATAACATGAATGATGAAAATATTGTACAACCTTGGAGTTTATATAAAACTGTCATGTGTAAGGAAAAATAAATCACAAGGTAGTAACTCTAGACACCCACCAGTTTTCTGTTTTAATAAAAGATACCAAGTTTACTATAGTTATAAAAAGTGACATAGCAATACTTTTCTATGAATATCACTTTTTCAAAATATTTTATGATGTATTATCTCATTTATACTCACATAATCTTTGACACAAAACCATAAGTGAACCCAAGTCTCCCAAGCTCTTACCTAACCCTCTGTAAGTAAGCAAAACAGTCTTTAAAAAAGCATTTGACAAATAGTGTATCTAAATCTCCTTACAAATGTCTACAAACTGAGTTCCTTTTAGAACTTTCAAGGAAGGACATGTTTTCTTTGGACCCGTAGGACATCATACTCCATGTGGCTAAAAGTTAGGCTGGGATAGGCCTCCCTGGTGTGGCAAGGGGTTAAGCACCACACTATGAGGCAATCCGCAGCCTCTGCAGCACGAGTTCAATCCCTGGGCGACCAGGGAGCAACCCACATGGCAAGGCAGACGTCCCTTGTCTCATCCGCTGCTCCCCTCAGCAATGTGTTTCAGTCAGTCTGCCTGTTCTGTTCCCCACTCTATCTCTGGTGAATCCTCTCACCTCCCGCATCTCTGGCCTGTACCCCAGCTCTTGTATGCATAAATAAATAAATCTTTAAAAAAAAATAAGTTAGGCTGGGATTATTCTGCTTAGTCAGGATAAAAGTCCAGAACATCAAGTAGAATGAAAAATTAGGGGGCTGAAGTTACCTATCTTAATATTTTCGCATGCAAATAGACTGGAGACTTAGAACCCAAAATGCTCAATGCTCTATGGTGGAAATAAGTGCAGAGGAATGAATGGGAAAGAAGTATGTGTGAAGTTGTTTAACAGCCTCAATCCAGAGACTAGACGGCGGGTGTGGGAGTAGGGTGGGGTAGGTGCTAGTTGTAGTAGGTGATTCTCAACATGACTTAGGAACTGAGGAACTTTTAGAAATCCTCATGCCTGGTGCTACCCTTGGCATTCCGATTTAATGAATTTGAAGCACACCTTGGACTTTAGGATATTTTTTAAGTTCTGTTGTGACTAAAAGTGCAGCTCAGATGATACTGATCAACAATGAAATCCCCACAAGAAAATGACTAGAATGAGGGACCTCAACCCAGTGCACTAAGGAAATGCCAGTAGGAGGCAGAGCACAGCAGTAGATGAAACTAAAGTAGGGGATGGAGGAATGTGGATCTCAGGGGGATAAAAGGGTGCAGCTTCCTAGCTCTAAGAGATACAGGTATCAGGACCAGAAAAGATGTTTTAAAAAACCAGATAGAAACAAATCTGAGATTAAACAAATCTGATATTAAACAAATCTGAGATTAAAATAATGGAAAAGGAGTGTTTTTTTTTTTTTTTTTTAAGATTTATTTATACAAGCACTGGGTACAGTCAGAAGCACGGGAGGGTGAGAGAATTCACCAGAGCCAGAGTGGGGAACAGAACAGGCAGACTAATGAAATTGGGCACGGCAGGAGAGGTCTGCGCGCCATGTGGGACCCTCACCTGGCAGCCGGGGATCGAACCGGCACTGCAGAGGCTGCGGGCAGCTTCGCAGCCCAGCGCTCAACCGCTGCGACACCAGGGGAGGCGCAAAAAGGAGTGTTTTAAATATAACTGTAAAGACTTAGGTGGCCCAGATGTTGAAACGAAGCAGGTTCAGTTACAGGGGGTCTGTGGACACACCATCTAAGTCCCCGCTAAGGGGTAAGATTAATAAAGTTAGTAACTACTGTGTTTCGTTAACAGAAAGGGTTACTAGATACTGTGATGAAAAAGGGTTTTGGTATAAACATCCTGAAGACAATGAAACCTGGTCCAACTATACCATGTGCAACGCTTTCACTCCGGAGAAACTACAGGTAGGTTCTGTTTCAACTTTCAGTATTGAGTGAGAATGTATACATAGAAATGAATACAGAACTATAAAATGCCTGCTATGAAGAAGCCAATCTATTTCATAGAAGGAAATTAGATACTGACCTTTAAGTCCTATGGCTCCTATGAAGATACATTGGAGAAAACATTTCACTTCTTGATTGGTACTCAGTATCAGTGAGAGTTCCATAAGCAAATGGAATCACACTATTTTTGACAAGGGGAACAGTGTCCATGGGACAGACAATGGGATTCTATGATGCCCGATATCAGGCAACATTTCCAGGGACTTTAATCTCTCACCTCCTGCAAGAGTTTCAAAAGTACAGATTTTCCACAAGTCAAAAGCTAACAGTTGTCCTGCCTCCACCACCCATGATGTTCATCACAGTTTTACTATCAGACCTTGGAGGGACCTTTAGAAAGTTCTCATCAGTTCATTGAATCAGCTTTAGGTGTGGTTGTTTAGATTATTTTCAGTGAAATCCATTCTGATTTGTTGGTATATGGGCCTTATGGGCTGTTAAATATTTTTATTATCATCTCTGCTTAGAAACTTTTAAACCTATGTGGGAGGGAATGAAACAGCTACCTATCCTATCCTTCAGTATATCAGAAATCTATGAAGATTACTAAGTCTACAACCTCTCCCCACAGAACTGGGAAAAAAGTTGATCATTCTTAGCCACACAGGGCCCCTCTGAGCAACCTGGTGGCTCTAGTGGAAATGTACTGTTTCCTTCAAGGATAGACTTGTGTGCAAAACAGTTACTACGTTGGAAAGTAAAACACATTATTACTTTTGCTTCTTGTAGAGAAACTTTAGGGATATAGAAATTTTTCCTTTTGTTAAAAATAAAACAAACAACAGCAACAAGACAAACAAGGATAGATAGTATAAGAGACCAGGGACTAAGGACACCTCATCACAGTCACAGGCTGAGGGCATCAAAGCCCTGCACCTCTCTGTAAATTGCTTAGTCACCCCTGAGATTCAGACTCCTGTCTACATCCTAATGGAGAGCTATTTACTTAATAAGGTCTGATTGAAATGACATGTCACTGAGTGAGGAATTTCCTGAATGAGTGCTGATTATCATTTTACAAGGAAATAATTGTAACTCCGTTAACTGAATTGTTATAAATAGTGCAGGTCCAAAAATTATTTCTGAATGCTCCCATGTTTGACCTGCTCACACATCGTGGCCACATGTGAAAGGGAAATAAACAATTTAAGCAATAAATGCTCCCCTCTAGGTACCTAATATAATGATTGATATTCATTGCACAAATATTCTAACATAAATACAAAAAATGTGCAGAAACCAAGGTAGAATTTATTAAAACACACATGCACACACACATTCACTCACACACACCTCTCAGTCTTACAAATGATACAAGAATGGCAACTAAATTATGAGCTAGCTGTTGGCTTAATCTTACACATTTAGAAGTCTCTAATTCCAAAGAATATATATTTTTTAAAAGAATATACTGGAGACACTGAAAAAGAATTAAGTTACATGAAATTTTCTTAGAAATAAATTATGCAGAGATAAAAATAAAATGCTTGAAGGTGATAGGGGAATGGATATATATCCAAATTAAAAACATAGTTTAAATGGCAAGGGATTCTATATGGTAAACTATTTAAAAGGAAGAACTTAACAAAAACAACACTCATAGTTTTGTCTAGTATTGAATTTAGAAAAATAATTAGAAAATTAATTCCTAGGAAAAAAAAAAGAACTGAGTGTTTGTTTTCTCATAAAGATTTCTAAATACCTCCTAAGGAGTTCTTTCATCTAATCGCCATTTGGAAATGTATTGCTTAATTCTCAATAATATGAAGGTTTTTTTAAAAAAAAACCTTTTTACTAATAATAGACAATTGTTGCCATTTAAGATTTCTTTAAGATTACATTTTTGAAATGTGTTGAGATTTGCTTTACTGGCTATAAAATATCAGATTAGATAAACATTCTTGTACATGCCCAAAGATGAGTATCTTGTAGTTGTTGGATACAGTGCTTATTACATGTTAATTAGTAAAATTTCATAATTATACTGTAGGTTGTTTTTCTTGTCTGTGTTTTCTATAAATTACTAGGAGTTGTCACTTTTTGTTTTATCATTTATGTGCTTTGACCTTTATGTTATTAGGTGCATAGAAATTTAGAATTGTTTTATTTTCCTGACTTAACATCTGAATCTGTCTGTTACACCTATTTTCTTTTAGTTACTTTCCTTTCACATCCAATATTTTTGTGTCCCTGTATTTAATGGTGTTTCTTATAAGCAGTAGATACTTGTTTCAGAAATCATCTAGTCCAACCAAAGTACATGATAGATGAGGACTACTGAGGTCGAAATAGGTGAACTAACTGACTGATTTATGAAGGTTCCACAAAGGTCTAGTGACAATACTCAGAGTAGAGCCCAGCCCTGATAAATCCAGTCTTCTTCCTACCTGGCCACACTTATTCTAGTGTAACTGCTAACCTTGTCATATTTAATATGTTAATACAGCTTGTTATTTTTTTGTATAATTCAGTTCTATGAAATGTGTTATAATGTTAAGTTTTAAAAAAGTAGTTTTTTTTACTTATAATATTTAAGAGTAGAAAGTATTTTCCTTCCTCTACAATCACTTATTCACCTACTTTTATTTGTAACTGGTTCTGTTGTTGCTGTTCCAGGATGCATACAATCTGTACTACTTGGCTATCGTGGGTCATTCTATGTCGATTTTCACCTTAGTGATTTCGCTGGGGATTTTCGTCTTTTTCAAGTAAGTACACTTAGAGCATCTGCTTTTTATTTTCTTCTTTAAGACACTGAAATAAATGGTGACTTCTTCAAGAGTGTGTGAGGGGGATCTTCTGCAAATCACAAGAGTTATGTATCTTAAGGAATCATGAAATAGAAAGAAAAATGAAATTAATTCAAGTATGTTTTTGCACCCTATCTTTGAAGAAAATAGGATAAATTCCTTTACTTTCCAAAGGCAATATGACTCTTTCCCAAAATGAAACAATCCTGTGAGACTAGAAGTATACTGTATTAACATGCAGAGTTTACTTTTACTGTGGCTATGATTCCATGAAATACAGAGGAAAGTATCTACATTCTTTTACCCCCCACTATAAAATTAGAAGATATTATAATCACAAATTCAAATGCATCTTGCCTAATTGCGAGCTATATCACAGTTAGGGTCTCATGAGACGTGATAGTGTTTAGCCAGAAAAGAAAGATAAATTCTCAAGGAAAATCTCTGAAAGATGGCCTGTTGTCAAATGTCAATGTTTTGCCCTTGCACATCTGCATTTTGTTAAATTGTGTTAACATAGTTATCTTTAGAAACACCATTAGGAATAGAATTATAGGGAGGGTTTCTGTTCTGAGTCTGTAACTATATATTTGCTTGCATTATCTATGGCCAACTAATTTAGTTGAGAGATTAATTTCACAATGGTGGAGAATTTAAAATGTTGAATCTATACTTTAATGAATGACTTCAGGACATATGTGAGATCATAAAAAGTTACATTTGGTCCTAAAAACACATCCTACATTTCGTGTATTTCTTTAATCAAAGGCAGGAGTCTCTATATTCTCTACATTCTAACTCCACTCTACCATGATAACTCCTGTGTCTGATTCCTTTTTTAGAGGCAGTGGTCTTATATAAATGATGAAGCAAAGTGCCTTCCTAGGTCCAAACTACTAGTAATTCTCCACACTTAAACAATGTGATATTCAATTAAGCATGCAGTGATTCATATATAGAGTAATAAAATCTTAATTTCATTTTTGTTAAAATGCTAACATGATATTACTAAAGAAAATTAAGACAAGGGGATAATCATCTTTAAACACATCATTAACACAGCCACCATTATTATTTTTCTCTTGATGGTTTTTTAATCTTTCATATTGATTTAATTTTTGATATCTTATATCTTAATAATATATAATATGTCTTTCTCTTATACAATCAAGATTCTTATATTGATCAAGCAGTATAACCAACTAGCAAATTTTGGTAATTGAGTAGCAGAGAATAACAAAAATAAACTGAGAATGAACACCATCCAAATAGGGTTAACATGAGAAAGACTGATAAACGAGACAAGACGTGAGGGATTAATTACTAGAATTAAAATAGAAGAGTGTTTTCAATTATAGCAATCAGAATACAGCCAAGTAAACACACAGCATGATTAATCTTGGAATGTTTGTTCATTTGTCAACTGCATTTTGCCACAGTAAATACATCACGTGATTCTCATGCAACTTTTATTTCAAAGTCTTTCACTAAGTCTACTTTAAATTTTTTTAATATAACCATGAGAAAGTTGAAAGAAAAAAGTTCCCAACTTGTCATTATGAAACTAATAAGTGTGTTCAGGATTTTAAAGATAGAAAAATGTCAAAAGGACATTTCCTTGCTCTTAATTTCTCCAATCACTTTGTTAAGAGATTAGGTATGAAAGTCAAATCAGCAAAGAAAATAAAACTGTCCTTTCAACAGTCATGCCTACCAGGAAGCCACTAAAGATGGTTGCTTAAAAGTGTAGCACGTAGGAAAGTAAAATATTTCTCCATTTCACTGTCCCAAAACAGTTAATCTGGTCTAGTCAGTGAAAGTGTGTGCAACGGATTGTCTAGGGAACACATGATTTTGTCTTACTGTCTGTCAATTCCAATGACCTACTACATAGCAACTTAGACCTTGGGGTAAAAAAGGTTTTATGGGGTGTGGCAATGCAAATCTGAGGAGTCATAAACCTATTCTTCTGTAGTACTATAATATAAACTAATGATACCTCAAATAAGTAAAAATATTTTTTAAAAAGAAAAGTCTTATTGCTTTATAATGGAAAAACATACACTGAAATAGCTGATTCTCCAGAGCACAAATAAGAGATGGATAGAATATAGAATATTTGACAATAAATATTCGAATCCACAAATGTCTGATTTTCATACTTATTATTAATCTTATCTTAAACCTGCCCAAACTAAAAATATCAAGTCTATCTGTTTTCATAAGATCAAATTATGTTTCTGATTTTTGATATGTTTTATTTTGCATTTGGATTTCAGAAATATGAAAGTCATTGTGAAAATAAAGCATTAATTCTGATGTATCACTGGAATTTATCTTTCAATTAGCAACATTAACCCCAGAAACTTTTCCACTCAACATCACCATTAAGGTCTTTACTGCTTTTTACAATAGAAGGTTTTAGAAATGATTTATGCACTTAAGTAGCATAATCTGTGTGAAACCTGAGCAAAAAACAGTCATCACTCCTTTGTAAATTCTATATTCCCAGAATTATTTTGCAAAATCCAAATAATCAGTTTTATAAAACCTTCATGAAACCAAAATTGTAAGTTACACACATCTCCACTTCTGAGACCTTCATTCATACTCATCCCATTGAAATCTCATTGTCAGCCTCTAAAATGTGCCTTGTAGGGTTTTTTAAAGGAGTAACCTTGCAAGTGTCCTCCTTAAATCAGTAGGCTAAGAAGGTCTGCAGAGGAATTTAAATTTTCTGAAGGTACTGGAAGCTGAGGAACTGCTGATGGTTTGCTTAAAATCCTGGGATATTACTCAGAATAAGATCATTAAGCCATGCCTCTAATCTTAATGTGATCTTATTCTGAGCATTCAGGGGAAGGTAAATGGCAGATCAGTGTAACCCTGAGACAAATAAGAATCATGCTCCCCATACTACTGAAAATGAATGTAAAATGTATATAAAGTCTTTGTTATTGTAAAAGAAGAAAATTGAACTTCTATGCCCTCTTCAAGACAGAGGAAAAAAATTTCAAGATAGAGAAAAAAAATTTCAGTACTTTAAATTATAGCAAAGGCAATACTAAAGATCTTAACTGTACAAAAGTGACAGAGTTAAAATAATGTTCGGGAAGACTGATTTATAGGTTATTTCTGGTTTACCAATTTAAGACTAAAGACAGACTCTTCAAGATGAAATTTGGTTTAGGACTTTTGCAGGAAAAATTGTTAGGACTGATAATATGGAGAGAGATTAAATAAATACATCAAATTAGTTCAGTAAGATTCTTCATTACTAGATGCCAATAGTAAATGTCAACAAGAGTTAAGATGAAGGTGCCCTTAGCAAAGACTGGCTTGAGAAAGTCACATAAGTGGATTTATTTGTGTCTGTTTTCTGAGCATTTTAAGTAAGTTTGTAATAAAGTCACTTACCCCATCAGTTTCTCTTACAATTTATCAATTCACATTTCTGTGGGATAATCCTAAATGTTGAAACATCTCCTTGTTTTTGCTCAAGAGAATGCAGTAACAGAACATTCATCAACATTCATTTTGATGTCTTATTCACATACCTCACTGATTGTTATATATTTTAAGTATTAATTACACTTGCCTGAAAATTAAGGGGTATGTTTTGGAAGGTGGGGTGGGTCTTCATTGTGTTACATTGTCTACATTATAGTACATTGACCACAAAAAAAAGAGGCTTTCCAGTAAGACCTCCAAAAGAAACATTAATTTTTATACAATTCACTTGATCTTTCCTATTATTCACTGTCATATCTACATAGTGAGTGGATAGATAACTCTTTTTCTTGTACAGTATCCACTTTTACACATCCCTGGCAGTTCTCCTATTCTCCAGAGAAATCATTAAATCAATGCCACCAAAAATAGCCTCCTTTCTCCCATCCCACTCTTGATACAACAGGACACCAAAGATAATTGCTTGTCAGATCTTGGCAGACTGTTGACTCAGAACAGTGGTAATAGGAACAGGAGCAAGAATTATGATGGAAAGAAAGTTCCTTAAAATAAAGATTTTGTGCTAAATCTGAAGATATAAAGTCCCCTGTCCAATAGGAAAAATGTATACTGTATATACTACTATATTGTGTTTAGAATTTTTTCCATTCCACATTTTTTCATTCCATGTTACCTCTCTTCCTTTGTGAATAAGGCCTAAACATAAAAAGAAAGTAAGAATTACTCTAAAATATAGGACTTTGTACCAGTCCCACATTTTTCTGAATACAGACTTTCTCATGGATTAGCAAATTCATAATAACTTTTTCTTGTTTCATCATCTGCTACTTTTCTTGTTTGCTTTCAATGTGACTATAATTACACTGTCTTATAAACAGTAAAGATTACTCTTCCTTATCTAAGGACAGCAAACTGATTTATACAATCTGGAAAACTCAAGGCAAATATTAAATGTCTTTTCATACTATGATGAGTTCCCCAAAGTACATACATACATACATAGGATACAAATAATTTGAAACAAAACCTCTAATGTGAAAGATTTATGCCAGGTAAACTAAAATCATGAAAACTGCATTTAGCTTTAGTCTTCAAATATGATATCTTGAGATTCATACTCAGGTAAATCATTATCTCCTCCTTACACTGGAGTGACATTTTGGTTGGACCAAGAAGTAAATTATGTTATCTTATATTCCCACTATTGGAGAATCTGAAGTACTTATTGCTCCCAACCACTCAGAGTGTGAGATATTCTGTACATTAATATACCTTTTAAAATCAAGTGAAATAAAATATAGCTAACATCGGATTGTTTTATTTCTATTTTAGACATTTCAGATCTGATGGGAAAATGTCAGGTTCTCTCATTTTATTTAAGCAATAGGATATTTGTGTTGAGAATAATGAAACACATAAATCACTTATGTTAAGTTCAGTTAATCCTTTTTATCATCCTATGCTTCTTCCTCAGAACAGTTATCATAATAAGAGTAAATAAACAATTATATAAAGTCCTTGAAGGAAGAAGTTGTCTGTTTTGTTCATCCATGTATCCCTAGCATTTACCAGAAGGTCTGAATCATAGTGAGTAAACAGCAATAGGTGTAGGAATATTGAATGAATTTTAATAAATTCAAAGTATCTTTAACTCACTTCAAAAGCTGAGTGTAAATGTCATCAAGTGAGTGTAATAAAATTTTTAGAACTCAATAAGCAGAAATTATATTGAAACCCTCAAGAAACAGAAACTCATATTATTTATTAATCATATTCTTCCTTTGGAGTCTGGCAGTTTAGCTTGAAACCATAATTTTCTCATTATATGCATAATACAAACCTGTATATAGATTTAAGCTAGGGTTGAACAATAAGATAATGTCCAATATTAGTTAGTTAATATGTAACTTAAGAATTTGGCAAATACTCAATACCACACTAAGCATAAGATATGAAATGATCGAGCATTTAATGTAATTCTATAATATTCGGGATAACTGTTTAGTGGTCACAGCTCAAAGAAGAAATTTGTTCTATATAAAGACTTTGTGTAAATACATGCGACACACCTTTTGTAGGTATGCAAAATAAATTCCTTTAACACTTCCATTCTGACAAGAGGAAAGGAGAAAATAATAGTCAATGCATAAATATATATCACAAGGTAAGTTTTAAGAAGAAAAATAAACCAAGGAGGTATAGGAAATATATTTTGTTCCAGGTGGTTCTGGTTTATACAGGTTTATACAGTAACCAGTCCTTTAAGCTAATGTAGTTCATCAGCAGATTGTTGAACTCTACCCGATCAAAAGAAAATCAGGCATGAGAATAGCAATGCTGTATAATGCATTCATCCACATTCCTTATTTCTGTTAATGTCACCTATCATGTTAAGCCAGGTTGAATCCAGTAATGAGACCACAGATATTTGCCTCCCAGTGAGAAGAATTATAAAATGCTATTGTGACTGTATGAAAATTGCAGGTCATAGCTATAATAATGCTAAATGCAGCAGTTGCAATGCTGTGGAAGAGTTTATGCAATATAAATGGGTATGGTGTTTCACATAATTTTTTTTCTTCTTAAAGCTTTAAATTTGCAATCTAAGTTTATAATATTATTGTAAAACCAATTAGGCTCCATTTATGTAACATCTTTTTCTGCTGCTAAGCAAAATAGCATGATAGTGTGTGTGTATGAGAGAGAGAGAGCTCTTCTTCAGACTCCGTGTTTATATTTTTACCATTGATTCCCTCCTGGACTTAAAGTTTTACAGTCCACTCCTACTCAACAAGTTGAGAATTTTAAAGAATTATGTTTGCTAATTTGCTAATGTTTCTGCTTCCTGAAAAGTTGAAAATGTAACAACAGTAATCAAAATATGTAACTCTCATTACTTTCATTACTTCAATATTCTTTGTGCCACAGATAATTTAAAAAATTCATTTTTCTTTGATTGGGAAGTATAAGAAAGCATTGTCTATAAACGTAGACAATTCTCATATTTCATCTTTTGCCAATATTTCCTTTTCAGATTTCCCACTATTATAACTTAATTTCATGATGATATTTTAGGAATAGTTACTATGACCAGTCATTGGATATCATAAACTAATGTTTTAAGATTTTACATGGCAAATGACATTATGTTAGCTATTTTTGAAGGATCAGATATGATAAATGTACTTTTTTTCATCTAGAATAATCTTTCACATTTGTTATAGCCATACTACAGGCTATATTTGCATCAAAAAGTGAAACAGGCTATTCAAACTAATGTTTATTTATGTGAACAATCACACAAACACATGTGTACAGGTTCACAAAGTGACGGAAAAAGGAATGAAAAATCCAGCAAATCGCTTATTACCCAAAAGATGGGATTTGCCAACCAGCAGCAGCACTTGGACAGGACTTGTCAATTCCAGACCACAATATGCCTCATAATGAGATCATAGTTTTGAACTTATTTGAATTCTCTGCTTGTGTCTGAGCTCCACCATCAGGAGAATGTGGAAAGGAGGAATCACATAGGCAATCCCATTTGGATTGGAGAAATAAAAAAATGTTAAAAGAAATGGGGAAAGAGAAAGATGACAGGGGATTTAATAAGCCCATGTGTGTGATGGACCAAGGACATGGATTCAATCCTTTGTCCAGGCAGCGTTGGCTCTAACTTCATGCACTGATATCCCATTTGCCACACGGTTTCTGCCTGGGTACATAAATGAATGTTAGATTTTTTTTTTTTTTCATCTGAAGCACACTACAAATCCTAATGGTTTCTCTTGTTAGAGTCCTCTTAATTAATTTCACAACATTTGTTATAATTAAAAGTGATTTTATCACTCACTTTTTCAATTATTGTATGGAGTCACCTTGAGGACTGAAAACTATGAGGTACCGTGACTAGAAAATTGGTTTTAAAAATTAGAAAGAAAAGTAGTAATGAGCCCTAAGGATTGAATCATTCTCACTTATTTCTATATGTTCTCTCATTTGTTGCTGAGGAAATATTTAAAATAGCACCAAAAAACTTTTTCCAGATACTTCAACCTTTCAGCACTGTGTAATATTTCTGTTTTATTTTCTTCCAGGAACCTTAGCTGCCAAAGGGTGACTCTGCACAAGAACATGTTTCTGACTTATATTCTGAATTCTATGATTATCATCATCCACCTGGTTGAAGTAGTCCCCAATGGAGAGCTCGTGAGAAGGGACCCGGTAAGTGCTGCATGATTTGTTTCTAGTTTTATTTTTAAGGATATGGTATCCCTGAAGAGTGAACATGGAGTTGTTTGACTAAAGTAGCTGTTCATATGTGTAATGATATTTGATTGTGACAAATGAATGTTGTATTAAGCAAGGTATATCATTCATTTGTAACTATTGGAAGTAATGTATTACAATAAAAGCCTGGGAATAACTAAATCATAACCAAATAGGAATCATACAACATATCATGAGTTTTTATGACTAATTAATAATTTATTAATGCCTATAGGAAGTTTACTGAGTGTAACCTGTAAACATAAATGAGAACAGGTAGACTAAGGCCATGCTTCCCAAAGGCCCAGCGTGTTACTAATGGGTTTACAAGTGTAGTGTTATTCCCATCAGCATTCTGGCACCAGGCTGGGCATGGACTGGTCACCTCAGCTACGAGTAGCTATGCATTTACTCTAGTGAGTCATGTAAATATTACCATGTCTTATATCTGCATGATCTGAAAAAGGTTAAATACCCCTAGTCCACTCGCTCCACTCTTATCTCCCAATCTCTGTTAATGGGTCTATTAACTGAGCTTGTCCAGAAACTAGAGGGTGAGGAAGCCCCAAGGCAGATGTAGAGATCCATGTCTCTGGGCCCCTGGGAACCGGGTAGAGAGTGCACTTGAGCACACAAACAGAACTATCCAGCACAAAATAAATGACTGAAGGATATTTTCCTTTTTGTTTCTCTGCTAAGCTGTGCTATGTAAGCATCTGTAGATAGCCTCATCTTTCAAAACTGGCATTTGACAGCTCTGCCAACCCAATGACAAAAATGCGTGAAATCTGCCCAGAGCATGCCTCCTGCGTGACGGTGGCATGACATGGGAAAGCAGCTTAATTTGGCTTCTAATGGATCCACAGTGCTAATAATTTTTGCAGTGTGAATATATCCAGAAGGGCATTATGAGCCATCTTTTAAAAACGTGGCATCTGTTAGCTGAGACAGGCTCCCATCTCACTCATTACAGAATGTGACCCAATTGGCTTACCTTGATGAGTTTTCTTTTTTAATGTCAACTACATTTAATAAGTGTCATCTCATTTCACTTAATCCTCAAAAGGGCCCAGGGAAGGATGGATAGTATTAATGGGATAAACTAAGTCTCAGTGTGTCAGAAAACACATGCCCTCCATGTTGTGGATAATCAGAGTTGGAACGCAGATCCAGACCTGTCGCACATAGAAGCCCATCCTCTCTCCTCTATAGAATATGGTGCTCTAGACTGCTTGATTTGTACTTTTAAGAAGATATGTTCTTAAAGAATGGCAGCCATTCCAAAGTGACAACTGTTCAATACTTACACATACAGAGTATGTTTAATTAGGGACACTGATCCCCACTAAGTTTAAACTAATTGTATAAGCTGTTATACATCTCTCAGTAGAAAAGACTCAAATTTTTGGCTTTCCATTTCCCATAAAGTGTGGAAACCCTGAGAAAGTTACCATCTGTACAGAGTAGACTGAAAATGGCACTTTGGTTATTAAAAAATCCACCCACCAACCTGGGAGCAGTGCTAAGTCAAACTATACAGTATTGTAAATTCCTGAATAGACTCTAACCCATATCTCTTGTGGGGAGTGGGGTTTCAGACCCACAATTCATACCTCCAGCTCACTCTCCGACTTTTAGGCAGAAGGGGTTTCTTATCCCTTGTAAGATCACACTAAACCTGTTATCTTCTCAAAGGAGTCTAAATTCAGGATTTTTCTGACTTGGCTATCAAATTATAGAAGCCATTTAACCATATCTATCAAAGGAAAATAAGGAAGAACTGCCTTACTTTCAAGGGGGTTTCTCAGAGTCGCAAAGAAGCATAAAGCTTTTTAAAAACTTCCAAAGGTATAATGTTGCAAGTGATCACTCGTACAAGACTGCTGCTAGCTCTTGTTTTATAGCTAATTCCCTCGGTCTCTGGTCTTGACTTTTCCAACCAAGTTGTTACTCTATTCATTGTTCTTAATGGCCTCATGAGCTGTTGTCATTGGGGAATTACACTTTCATGGGATACTTTAGGGGCAGACATGCTTGCGTACTCTGCCAGTCAGCTCACAGACGGTCTCCTAGCCAACAAGCCAGCCCTGCTCTGCCTCATAGCTCCCTATTGCCTAGAAACCTTTAATAGAGTCCGTGAGCATGTGTCCAGGGACCTGGCTTAGTCTCTATGCAGCTGATTTCCTGGGAGAATGTGCGTGTGAGCATGGGAGAGCCAAAGAAATTACCAGGAAACTTCCTCTGGATATGGAAGAGAGAGGGTGGCGCTCACATACATTAGACATTCTCAAGGTGGCACAAGTTTGAAAAGCAGGAAAGAAACCATAAAAGAAGCTTTTATGTCATGACCAGCACCTGGTTATCTTAGCCAATATATTTTTAACCTAAAATACTTGTTATTTTTGTAAGAGCAAACTTCCTAGGGAAAAAACAATAGAACACTTGAAGAGAGAATTTTTTCCAGTCAATTAATTGTTTATTGAGCATCCAAAACTCAAATTTTAGTCTTTTGCCTGAACTAAATTCTTATTATGTGGAGAAAATATCTATTTATGACATTCCCTTCACAGTCCCTAGGAATGTATGTGCCCAGCCCCCGATGGAAATAGTTTCCTGTGTCTTGCAACCATGCATATGGGGTTCAGTCATTTGTTTGCCTATTTCAGGGTGTGTAAGTGTGTGAATTAATGGAAAACAAAAGAGCAAAAAGTGTGGATATTTTACTCCATGTGTCTAAATTAGAAGCCTCTTTTCCTCTGAGGTTAGGCAAAATAAAAACAAGTCGCCAAATAAAATGGCGAATGAGGATTGCCATAATGTGTGAACACACCTCGTCCTATTTCACATTTCCAAATGACAGTAGACAAACTTTGGAAAATTGTATCTCTTACCAAATACATATAAACAGTATAGGCTAAAACTAAATAACCACCATGACAAAAATTAATTCTTGTTAGTATATTGTGAAGCAAACACTCTACCAAAATGAAAAAAATTAGGTCATTTGTTTCTAAGCACTTTCTCCATTTGAATACATCCATTGTTTTCCAATGAGAATGTGTTAAATCTCTTATTTACTTTCTATATTCAAACAGTAAAGGACTCTTTGATTGATTGATTTTTAATTAATGTATTTTTTTTTCTTAGATCTTTGTCAATTTTTGCACAGTATTTGATTTCTCCCCTCTGGTGTAGTCCCTGTAGTTCTCCCAAAGGTATGGCACCACAGTCTCTTGGACTGTTTTCTTTAGGTAAAACAAAATTAGCTAGAAAAAGAGCAGGGGAAAAAACCTCTCAAGCCATGCTTTGGTGCATTGCATTATTCACCCTTGAAACTGCTTATTTTCTACCTTCCACGAGAGACACAATTCTTGAAATTTGTGTTATATCTCACCTTGAAAATACATCATCTGCCATAAATTTACTAATAGAAACACAATTTCCTAAGTATTATATAATGTATGTAATTATATAAAAGTATTATATATAACATATTAAACATATTATTATTATTATATATAAAGGAAATTGTTGTATTTTACAGAGGCTAGTACAAATTAATGGGAGAAACAGAGCCTATTCCACACTTGGTATTGGAGCAACTATATGATAACTAGGGAAATAAAATACATCTTGAATATTCTCTTTTCAAAGAAAATTATGCAAAAGACTTTCCCCATCCAAAAGACTATTAAAGTGAATTGAAGCTGAAATAAAGTCAAACATCAAGAAAGAAGAAAATTTCCCTGTTGTGATATATTTGGGTAGAGAGGATATAAACAAGAACTAGGAAGGTTTAACTACTATTTAGGAAAAGGAGGTTTTCCTAAGGGTGAAGTTCTCGGCCTCTAAAGAGATCAACAATATAATACCTAAACACTGAAGATGATGTCATCAATAATGACTGTCACCAGCAAATCATATATTTAAAATTTACTCTTTAAATTAATAATTTAAAATATTGCTTTTTTTCTCAAAAACTTATATTCCAGAAAACTAAAGATCACCCCTAGCCAAGTAGAATAGAGATAATAAAGAAAAATCCAAGAGAGAAGAGACAAAGAAAACACAGCAGCAAAAAAAATTTGTTATAGGAAGTTATCAGATCTTGTGAATCTATAAACATTGGTGAAAATTGTAACTAACACCAGAAACATAACCACAATCATAAGTTAAAGTCCAACCATCAATATACTTCATCTATCTGTGATTCAGGCGCATGTCTCCTTTAAAACAAAAAGAATACACAATTTTTAAAGATACTTTCTCTCTTAAGCAAACTTAAGAGAGTTGTGGGTTATTGTTTCATTTTGACCCAGTTCTCAGGTCACTGACTCAGCTTAGGAGGGAAAAATTTTTTCCTTCCCTGCGCCCAAGGGGATATATTAAAAAGAAAGTTATGTCTTATAAAAAATAAATAAATAAAAGAGTCGGCATCATCCCAAATGCTGTTTCACTACTTCTGGAAGAATTTATTTTATTTTGTTGGGGGCAAAAGAAAACACAATGTTCTTGCTCTTCCTTAGGGAATCCTGTAGTCCATTTCTTCTGTTGAAAGTTTTTGGTTAGGCAGAATCTCTTTTGTAAAACCAAGGGTGAGAATCTTGCTCCTTCACATACTCAAAAAAAAAAAAACAAACCTAAAGTCAAAATAAATCATGGCATAAATAAGGGCTGAATAGATCCTCAGTTTATTGAGTGATGTGAAAATTGCCCATTGTCATTTGTGTCATTTAGCATTTCATTTCCATAATATCTAAAATTTCATTTTCTTGTTCTTTCTGCTTATTCGATGATCTTCATGTCAAGTCAGGAGGCAGAATTAAAAGCATTGTACTTGCTGCATCTAAAGGAAGTTGGCAGGATACTTGTCATTTTCTAGAAAGAAATGTCTCTGTGAACTTTTATCTGGGTCTGAAAAGGACAATATAGGAAGATTAGTTTTACTGAGAACC